GACTTGTGCTGGACCCTACGATGGGGCCGTCCAGTCCCCAATGCTGACACGCAGACCGCGCAGTCCCTCCTGTACGGGATGTGGTCCCGTCGGAGGTGCAGCTTCCAGCCCTGCTCCTTGGAAAGCTTGGCCAACACCGGTGTCACTGCCTCTTCACTTCCAGAGCACATACCCCCACATCGCTTCAGGCCTTGTGCAATAGCTCGCCGCAGACCTGGGGCCCATGAAGCTACCACACTGGCCGGGGCATCGAATGAAGAGGTCGCCGACTCCCTCTTGTCCTTCAGGTTGTCCAGCTCCTCCATTCCAAGGTTCTCCACCACCGTTGTTGGTTTCCTGCATGGATGGCCTAGGGCTCCCTGGTCGAACGTCCGTTTGCAAAGTCCACGGCGCTCCCCTTCCGTCAGGAACTCTGTGATCATGCTGGTGTTCCACACGCTCGGATAACCATTGCCCTCCAAGAAGCCGTTCGGATCTGCGGGGTGCTCCATCACAAAGCCAACTTCTTGATCCATGTACAGGAATAGCTGCCTTGCTATCAACTCCGTGTCCTTGTCCACATAAGAGCGCTGAGCTGCCGACAGCCCCGGCAGGCCCCACAGGTGTTCCGCTGATCTCACTGGTTCGGGCTTTCCTGGAGCCCGGTTGTGTCTCATCGCACTAAAGGTCCTGCACGGCGGGCCACCCAGGACACCCTTGACCCTTCCATCCATTGCTGCCCAAAGAAACACCTTGTAGACCTCGCCGTTCATGTTCCAAGTTTCGGACGACAAGACATCCACATTGATGACGACGACTTCGTTCCCGTTGACATCCTTCATGCCCGTCAGCTGTTGTATGGGGTCTCCGGAGTTTGAACTTCCGCTGTACAGGTTCAGCATCCAATGTCTTGATTTGTACAGTCGTTTGCGAGCTCCCCTTGGTAAGGGAAGGGTCTTGAGGAGCTCCCAACCAGCCTTGTCCGTGAGCTCCATCTCTGGCACCAGTCTTCTTCTCACTCCCTCCGGCACTTCCGCGAAGATTGGGGACTGGTAGAGGGCGAGGAGGCCATTGGTTGGGATACCAGTCTTGACGTACTCGGTGAGCCTCAGTCTCCAATCCCTTTGCGTCGTTTCCAACATGCAAAGGGCTGTCAGCTGCTCTCGGAGGGCTGCGGTTCTTTCCTTCAACTCCTCCACCTTTTTCATTTCCAGCTCCGCAATGATTGCTGCAGCTTGACCCTCATCTGTGATCTCAGGACAACCTGCGCGTACCCGAGTTCGTATGCGGCCGTGCCTTGGGTGGAATAGATGGAAACCCGCCTTCGTCCACTTCAACGTGCAGCCAAGAACTTCGATGACCTTGCCAAACGGGATGATTGACTGAACCGTCTCAGCGTCTCCTGTTTTTCCCACCAGGATGCTCCCTTCGGGCGTTTGGTTCAGAAGGCGCCTCTCCTCGCTAGCCAACACGACGGCAACCTCCGTGCTGTCTTTCAGCTCCTGATCTCCTTTTGCAGGTCTCAGAACATGAGTTGAACCTGAGTCCAACAAGACCCCTCTCTCCCCATGCTCCTCTTCCACCTTCTTGATGGCTGCCCCAACACTCTGCGGCTCCAATCTTACACCCCCTTCGTCTTGCTCCTCTTCCACCTTCAGCGCCTTGAGTCTCATCTCGTCCAACTGGCGCTGAATCGACTCGTACGTGGGGATACTCGATGGAGCAGTTGAGGTACTTGATGAGGATGCGGCGGATGCCATCATGGACTTCAGCATGCTTGAGGCCTCCGCTAGCATCTTCTTTAGGTCTTCCTGCTCAGAACTCTTGGTGGTCTTCGTGGCTTCAGAGGTGGGACTCGTCGTAGGTGATGGTTCTGCTGCTGGCTGATCATTCTCTGCCAGCTCTGCCGCAAGCGCCTTGGTCGATGGAGGTGGTTGCTGAGGGAGGTCTGGTTTTGCCTTGGCTCTTGGGTTGGGACTTGAAGACGGCGTAGCTAGGCCCTTCTTCCCTGCCTTGCAATCCTTCTTCTGGTGTCCGGTGCCTGAGCATATAGTAAGCGACCAGCCTTGGAAACTCCACCCCAATCATGCTGGAAGGCACAATCCGCTCCCCTTCTGCATCCCTCCTCTGTTTTCGCGAACCACCGGCATGGTTTCGCCGTGCTCGACGAAGCTGCGGGCTGGCTCGGCTTCCTTTCCTCACCAGCTTGATGTAGGCCCTTGGCCTTCGGCTGCTGCTCTCCTCCTCCGGCTCGAGACGCTGCCTCCATTGCCGCAGTCGTAGAAGAGCTCTTCTTTGTTCCCGCTGCCAGGCCTTCAGCTTCTGCGAGTAGGTGCCGATGTAAGGCCAGGACGTTGTCTGTCGTGGGGAATGTGTCTATCTGGAGAGTATTCCTCAGCAACGAGGTACGGAAAGCGGCCTCAGCATTCTTCTCGAGGATCGGCTGAGTGATGGTTGTCAACGCCCTGGCGAGCACCGTCGGATCTGGTACCGACACGCCCGCCGCTTTGGCCCTGCTATGCCACCGCTCCCACTGCCTCAAAGCTTCCGCTGCCTTCCCTGCTTCCGTGCAACGCGACGGATTTTGCAACTGCTCCAGAACTAGCCGTTTTTCACCTTCTCCTCCAGGTTGATACAGCGTTAGAATCAACCTTCGCGACACTAGATCCGACCTCACTGAAGGGTCTAGGGACTGCAGCACCATCGATGCTGCTCGCGCGTTGACGCGGCTGAACTTCCCTTCCTCGAGCTCCTTGAGTCTGGGGCCTCTGAGATTCAATCTCTCCAGCGGGGTGGCCTTTGACCACTCTTTGTAACATCTCTGCGCCTCCTCCTGCACTCTTGCCCACCATTCCTCGCTGCGATCGCTCAAATCACTCATCGGGGCCTGTGTCAGCTGCAGCCAGTCTTGAAGATCCACAGGCGCGGTTTCGGAGGACGGAGCCTTCAGCTCCGGTAGTGAGGCCACTCCCGGCTTCACCACCTTGATAACTCCCAGAAGATCCATCGCCGTTGGTGTGCTCTCTCCTTCTTCCGGCCGGGCTTCTCCACCCGATTCAGGCATGACGCCATCCAGATCAGGAGTCGACGCAGAAGGGCCCTGGGTTCCGGCGGCATCCTCGATGATCACTGCCTTCTCCCTTTTTAGCGCCTCAATCTCTTCTCTTAGGGCTTGTGCTGCTTCATGTGAGCGACCGGCCGCTGCTGGTACTCCTTGAGGTTCACCTGGTGCATACGAGCGTGGATTTTGACCCCGAGCCCGATCGCCTTGAGGTAGGACATGTGATTGCTGCGAAGCCCGATCACCTTGAGGTAGGACATGTGATTGCTGCGAAGCCCGATCACCTTGAGGTAGGACATGTGATTGCTGCGAAGCCCGATCACCCTGAGGTAGCGCTCGTGATTGCTGCGAAGCCCGATCACCTTGAGGTAGCGCTCGTGATTGCTGCGAAGCCCGATCACCTTGAGGTAGCGCTCGTGATTGCTGCGAAGCCCGATCACCTTGAGGTAGCGCTTGTGATTGCTGCGAAGCCCGATCACCTTGAGGTAGCGCTTGTGATTGCTGCGAAGCCCGATCACCTTGACGCTCGCGGCGTTCTGCTTCGAGCACATCCCTTTCCCTCCTCAAAGTCTCAACTTGATCTCGTAGCGCCCTTGTCTCTTCGTGTTGCTCCGCCATGAGGGCCCGAAGCTGACGCTGCACCTCCGCTTGGATCTCCTCCGATGACGTAGAAGATGGGGCCCCTGGCGTATGCAACAGTGGAGCTTCGCGCTCCATCGCTCGCATCCTCTGCACCTGATCTGGCGTGAACAGCGGCCCTGGTCCTTCTGGCCTTGACGCCAGCGGAGGAGGAGGAGTCATGGTCCTCCAATCAGCACCTGGAAGTTCTTCTGGCGGTGAAAAGTCAAGAGCCCTCTGATGACCAGTTATTCTCCTTGGGTTCTGCTCTGCTGCTGCTGGCGACAGGTGTCCATGTGGTGGTGTTGGCTGGTGCCCTGGTGATGCTGCCCAACCTAAACCATCTAACACCCGACCTTGAACTTCGCCAACAGTAGTCGCAGACGTCCTCAGAAAATCTGTCAGCCTTGCAACCCAACTCACCATCGCCTGTCGATTCGCTCCAGTGCCAGCTGTAGCCATGGTATACTCCATCCGCACTTGCCGCGTTGGAGTCCCCGGAGGCCACTGCGAGTGCCCCAAGGACTGCTCCACAAACTGTTCCACGCTTCCGCTCTGATGGCCTCCTTCAGGTGGTGTAGGGCCTTCCAAGGTCCTGCCACCATCGTCTGCTTGGAACACACCAGATTGAAAGCCGCTCATCTCCAAACCAAGGGGTGCAGCCAGCGAAGAGTCCGAGCCTCCCTCCAAGGGCTGCTCCCTCACTTCTCTGGCTCGCAGTCCATGGTCTTGCACCACATGCTGTCTTGTTGCCGTTTCACTTCCGGCTACTGCAGCACCATACGTAGGTCCTGCATCTTCACCTTCTAGGAGCTGCGCAGTAGCACGTTGGGCGGACATAACCTGTTGTGCTTCACTGATGATGTGCTGCCGTGACCTTCTCGTTCTGAACAACGTGATGTCAAAGGATTTGCGCTATGCAATGGGATCCATGGGGCCACGGGCTTACACACTTCGAATTTTTTCCACAAGCAAAGAACTTCGGCCTCTGCACTGCTTACGGCATACGGCTTGGGAGTGCACCTTTGCTGCATCCTGCCTTGTGATGCCACGCTTGCATGCCTTTTGTTCTGCATGCCCTTGAATCGAACAAGCGGCGATTCACTTTACACAACCGCAGCTTATCTTCATCTTCAGGTCGGGAGGTGGTACATGTTTCAAATGACATCTTCATATTCCGGGTCAAGATGTTGCAATTTCGGGCAGTTTCCTTTGGGTACCCTAAGCCCTAAACCCCCTAAACCCTGAGCCTTCAAGCCCTAAACCCTGAACCCTAAACCTTAAACCCTAAACCCTAAACCCTAAACGTGTGGACGGGAGTGTCGGGAGCGCGCCCGCCGGCCTTTCGGCAAGCGCAGGGTCTCCCCGGCCAGCTCGCAACGCACCGTCCCCGGCCGATGAAGAGTATACTCAGACTGAAGCTCCTTGGGCAGTTTGGGTTTAGGGTTTAGGGTTTAGGGTTTAGGGTTTGGGGTTTGGGGTTTGGGGTTTGGGGTTTAGGGCTGATATGCTCAGACTGAAGCTCTTTGGGTGTTAGGGTTTTAGTGTTTAAGGGCTTACCTGGGAACTCCTTACAGGGAACCGGATTCTCCTGTGTGTTCAGCGTTGTCGGGGCTTGCAGAGACATAGGGGTAGGGCTTAGGGTTTAGGGCAAAGGCGGCCTGGGGTTTAGGGTTTAGGGGGCTGGGCCCTGGGGGCCCCTCGACCTCTTATGCCGTTGCAGGTCTGTTCGGGAAGTTGAAACGTATTTGAACCGAGGTGGTTGGCCTGCTTTGTTGCTGGATGTGGGAACCGCTCTTCCTCCTGCGTGGCTTGTTTGTGTCAAACCTCATCCCGGATCCTCAAACCCCAACACGGGATATGTTTCAACATCACCCGCGAAAGCGCAACATCTTCAACGACTGCGCTAGTGGATTGGCGGGGGCAGGGATGAGCCAGGTTAGTGTCTGGGGTTGTCTGGAAGCTAGGCAACAAAAGAGAGTCCTGCCTTTACAGGATCTCAGAAGGGAAGATGGGAGTTCACTGGGCATCCTAATATAGGGGGGGGGGGGGGGGGGCGGGGGCATAATAAACTGCAACGTGTTTTTTCGGATTCATTACCTATGATACAAGACTGACTTTCACAGTGGTCAAATAACCATGGTGCTAACTTACTTTGTGTAGGGGTTTGTGGCTTTGGGGTTTAGGGTTTCGACTCTCACAATGGCATGCGTGGTGAGGCAACGAGTAGCAGGTCGACGGTGAAAGTGAAGCACGTTAGCCCGGAGCACTGCAGCTAGAAAGGACAGGCCCGCACCAAGCCCCCCCCCCCCCCCCCCCCCCACCGCTCCCGGCCAGGTTTAAGAACAGTACAGGGTTTAGGGTTTAGGTTGTCCACAGCACCCCTCCCACACGGAACGGCCACCAGCGCGAACCCCCAATCCCGCGAACTACTCTTGAGTCGGAGAAAACTCCACATATGCCCTGCTGTTGTGACCACTCAAGCAGCCAAAACTCCAAATCCCCGAAGTAGGCGTGGAAGGAAAAGAGTTGGTAAGGACTCTGGATGCCATCACTGTGACCTCAGCTGGGCCGGACTAAAGTGACGCCAAAGACTTTCGTGCCCTCTTCCTGTGCAACCTGCATGACCATCATACCCTAGAAAGCCCCTTAGAAAGCCCCTTTATAGGGTTGGTAAGGGGGATTGTAAAGGACTGATAACCTTTGCAAGGGCCATGTACATTTCGTGACTTCGAGTCTGGGAAGCGCGGAACCTCACCCGATCAATGCTAAACTTCATCGCGCTTGAAGTTTCATGGGTAGTTCTAATTCTAGGCTGTGCATGCAATCCTAGCTAAGGGTTTGCATAACCCTACGCAAACCTCATCTTGTATTATCAAAGTCTTATATTTGTATAGTACTATAGTGCAATATTTCTTTCTCGTTGTAGCACCATATGTTTATATCACTATAGTTAGATATTCACTGTCCCAGAATGTGATGTCGGTTCCCCTTTGTGAGCGGAAGCTCCCGAGTCGAGCCGTCTTTGGACTCGTGACTCCTTGCAGTGGGGGCCTTGTACCACTCCCAAAGAATCCTAAGTACCTATATGGGGGTCACTTGCCCAAACCATAATGGTAATTCCTAATATAGAAACCCTACTTTCTACTATGAAGGTACTTAGGACCCTTTGGGACTGACCCTAAACCCAAAACCCTAAACCAGAAATCCCCCCTTTTCAAGGGTGCCTCGGCCTCTATGGAGACTTGGGGGGGCATGCCGGCTTTCAGGAAGTTATGGCGCCGGGAAAACCCGACGACGTGCCACCCCGGCCAATCTCATGCCCACGCCCGACCGGCTATTCATCCAGTCGTGCGTTCCGCTGCGTCGTCGTTTCTCCCGCAGTTACAAGCCCATGCGCGCCCAAACTCTATGCAACCAGTTGAATAAGGACACCACACACAGCTCGCAATCCACTTCACTCTACAGCAATCCGTGGCAGAGAGTTGTCTTTGGCCACACAGCCGGCCTTCTTGCAATTCTAAACCTACAGAGTTTAGGACTGCGGGTACCCGAAGCCCTGAACCCTAAACCCTAAGCCCTAAACCCTAAGCCCCAAACCCTACACCCTAAACCCTATAAACCCCATAAACCCTATAAACCCTATAAACCCCATAAACCCCATAAACCCTATAAACCCTATAGACCCTATAAACCCTCTAAACCCTATAAACCCTATAAACCCTAAACCCCAAGCAAAGCACGCCAAGCTCCAGGCGGCTTCCTCGCTGGGACCTCCTTTTGTGGTGGTCCCGCACGGGCGCCGCCACGAAGGCGAAGGTGCCTCCCATTGCAAAGTTGGGGTTTAGGGATTAGGGTTTAGGGTTTAGGGCTAAGGTTATGACTTGCTTTTTTGCCAGGGCACAACACACGGGGTTTAGGGTTCGGGTTTAGGATTTTTTCGCTCCCGCAAGGGTGTAGGGTTTAAGGTTTAGGGTCTAAGGTTAAACCCTAAACCCTAAACCCTAAACCCTAAACCCTAAACCCTAAACCCTAAACCCTAAACCCTAAACCCTAAACCCTAAACCCTAAACCCTAAAGTAAGGTTGCAGAGGGGGCATCGGGGGCCTCCTCCACAACCTCCAAGAGCTTAACTTTTTCTTGGAAGCCCCTAAACCTTGGGGTTGTTCCCCCTTCTACTAACAGTCCTTACTAGGGATTTAGGGAACAGGGTCTAGGGTATAGTACCCCCTATTGTAGTCCCCATTCGGGACTGTTCGTAGAAGGGGGAAGATCCCAACTTAAATCTGCAAACAGAAAACGGAACAACACATTAACCAAACAAGCCAAGGAAGAGTCTGAACACCAAGTGTGGGGCTTCTAGAGGATAATAAGAGCTCCACGCCTCGCCCTGGGCAGTAGGAGTTCGGGTTTTCTACATCTCTAAGTTGTTTTAGGGGGTAGGGTTGAACCCGTAATTTTGCACCCCTTGAATCTCAACCCCTCCCCCCCCCCGCCCAAACCCTAAAACCCTACCATGTACGCCCTAAGCCCTAAACCTGAAACCTTAAACCCTCGCCCCCACCCCCCCCCCCCACCCCCCCCAACCCCCCAAAAAAAAAGACAGTAACAATAAGAAATAACCTAAACAAAATCATACGAACTGCCAAGGCACTCAGCCCTCCAAAGCCCAAGCCGAAAATTCCCCCCCCCCCCCCCCCCCCCCCCACTCAAAAACCCCAAGGTCCCCTTTTAAGGGATTCGATAGGTACCCTCATTCCCCCTTCCCTACGAAGAACAAAGGGGGTGTTTGGTGTAACTGGTGGGGGGGCTTTGCTGAGCTTTGCTGAACTTAGGGGTTGGGAATATCTAGGCGGGATATAGGGTACCTCAATCTCTCATCCAGAACACTCCAAACCCTCAAGCACCCCTAAACCCTAAACCCTAAACCCTAAACCCTGAACCCTGAACCCTGAACCCTAAACCCTAAACCCTAAGCCCTAAGCCCTAACCCCTAAACCCTAAACCCTAAACCCTGAACCCCCCCACAGCACCTCGCAGTATAAGGTACATGTGGAAGGCAGGATCGCCCTTCCTCAGCATTTAGGGGTATAGGGTTTAGGCTTTAGGGTTCGAGTTTAGGGTTTAGGGTTTAGGGTGGTTTAGGGTGGTTTAGGGTTTAGGGTGGTTTAGGGTTTAGGGTGGTTTAGGGTTTAGGGGTTTAGGGGCTTAGGGGTTTAGGGGCTTAGGGGTTTAGGGGTTTAGGGGTTTAGGGGCTTCGGGGCTTCGGGGCTTAGGGGTTTAGGGTTCAAGGATTGGGGTTTAGGGGCCTTCGGGGTTTAGGGGGCTTTTGGGGTGTTGGTGTTGGGCTGTTAGCTTCAGGGGCAAGAATTAGCGGTTGAAGGCCTCTGGAGGCTCAAGGTCTCTTGAATCTGTGAAGGACCCTTCTAAGGGAACTTGGAGGCTATTTAGATTCGGGGGCTTCTTAAGTATATAGGGACTGCAAAAAGGTCATGTAGGGGTTATATAAGTTATATAGTATAGGTCTATAAGGGAGCTTAGGGGCTATTTAGATTCGGGGGCTTCATAGGTATATAGGGACTGCAAGAAGGTCATGTAGGGGTTATATAGTATAGGGGAATAAGACTCAAGGTCCCTTCTAGTGGCCCTTTTTTCTTCTAGGGGCCCGAAACCCTAAACCCTAAACCCCACTAAACCCTAGACCTTGAACCCTTTTTGACGGCTAGGACTGCTGCACTGCCTGCCCTGAACCCTAAACCCTAAACCCTGAACCCTTAACCCTACACCCTGAATTCTAAGCCCCCTAAACCTTAAACCCTGAACCCCAGCCCCCATTCTTTGTCGGGAGGCTGGTAGACGATCTGTGCCCCCTCCTTGACGGATGCGCGGGGTTTGGGGTTGTATAGGTTTCGGGAGGAACTCCCAACTCCCATCTTGTTTCTTTAGGGTTTAGGGTTTAGGGTTTAGGGTTTAGGGTTTAGGGTTTAGGGGTTTAGGGTTAAGGGTTTAGGGGTTTAGGGGTTTAGGGGTTTAGGGGTTTGGGAGTTAGGGTTTAGGGTTTAGGGCTCCTAGATTCAAGGTTAAAAGGAAATAATGTACATATTGTTCACAAAAATGATTCAAATTTGATTGTATTTTGATTTCGAATGGATTGATAACAGAAATATTGACAACACCTGCAAAAATATGGATAAGTTAATAATGATGTCGACCAGGAAATGGTTTTTTTAAAAAAACAACGAATTCAAAAGAACAAATGGTCCAAGAAAGCCGCGCTTCGTAAAGCTTGGGCACCAGCACCACCGACAGCAGCAGCGGCAAACGAGCCGGTATGCCAGGAAAGGAGGGGTGCTTCAGGAAGTTGTTTCGCGCCAGCTCGCCATCGAACAGGCTGCCGTGAAGCTCTCCTGGGTCATGACGGTTTAGGGTTTCGCCACCCGCACTGCGCGGTTTAGGGTTTAGGGTTTAGGGTTTAGGGTTTAGGGTTTAGGGTTTAGGGTTTAGGGTTTAGGGTTTAGGGTTTAAACCACCTGACCACCTTCTTACCACCACGCCAACGCTTTGCCGGCACATTGAAGCTGAGCCCGACGCTGGCCAAATTCAGCGGCATGTCCGTGACGATCAGCTGCCTCGGCGCCCACAGGGCGGCAAAGTCCCAAAGCTTCCCCGAAAACTCTACTTGGAGGTTCAGGGTACTTATTAACCAATCATAACTATAACTGTACTTATAACCCACTTATAAGGCCCTAAAGTGCCCTAACATGGTGATAATTTGGGTTATAAGTGCAGTTATACTTGGTTAATAAGCACCATATGAACCTTCAACCAGCCATTTGTTCATACATAATGTGGCCTAGACCGCCCAAGAATGAGTATGCCCTGGTGCGGTAGAAAACGTTGGAAGGGACTAGTTTTTGAATGAGAGAGCGGTATGGCACTTCAGACGATGCATCAGAACCCCTGAAGCCTACACCCTAACACGTAAAGAAATTTAGGGTTCGGCTTAATGCGGTGGATTTCGGGGCAAAGGGTTCAGGCTTAGGTTGTAAGAGCGTTGGGGCCATGTGACTTAGGTTTGGTCTGCCTTTTCCTTGAGTCCCCTACCCTCAAATCAAGAAAACTAGCGCCGAAGCCCCCTAAACCCCACAACCGGCCCCGGACTCGAAAACCCTAAACCCTGAAAGTCCTAAAGCCCGAAGCCCTAGGGATTATTGACAATTTGGTTTTCTGGTAACCTCGTTTACAGTTGGCGAGTGATGTCGCAGCCGTGATTCAGCTGCAAAAAGGTGGAGCGATTGCTCTGTCGCTGCGGAGCTGACAAGAACTCTGAAGAAACAGTATGGACTAGCTGAATAGCTGACTATCGCAACAGCTTGAAACTCCTTGATGTGCTCAGGCATCAAGCAAGTGCGAGTTGGGAATAAAAGAATGACATCCCACACTCCGCCTGGTGGAAGATTCAACCGGCACCACTGTAGCTGGAGAAGCCGTCTCCCACCACAACAACCACAATTCCACACATGCTACTACCATGAGGCTTGGCGCGGAAGAAACGGATCATACAATCGACTACTCACTACACAGCTCCATGAATCACCACGAAAGCCAGCGAGAGCTGTTCGTCTCGGCAATCTGCACGAGGGCATTGCCCCTTGTACTACCAGTCCTGAATAGGGATTATAGTACCCCATATTATGATCCCTATTCAGGACTGCTAGAAAAAGGGGGAACTCCCCAAAACCCTACGCCCTAAACCCGGAACACTAGACCCTGCTCTGAGCCCCCCTCCCACCCCACCCAGACAGCAGTAAAATCCTGCACCCTCAACCCTAAACTCCAAACCCTAATCTCCAAGCCCTAAACGCTAAACCCTAATGTCCAAACCCTTTTTGCAACTGGGACTTGGTGACTGCCAGAAAAGAAACCCCACTTCACACACCCGCAAACTGCAGCACCGGCCTCATCCACGCCGAGGGGCATGCCAAACCCTAAACCCTAAACTACAAACCCTAATCTCCAAGCCCTAAACGCTAAACCCTAATCTTCAAACCCTACTAAACCCTAAACCCTAAACCCTAAACCCTAAACCCTAAACCCTAAACCCTAAACCCTAAACCCTAAACCCTAAACCCTAAACCCTAAACCCTAAACCCTAAACCCTAAACCCTAAACCCCGCCCCCCTCCTGCCCCCAAAGGCTGTCCAGTCGCTGCATCTCATCGAGGTCGTGCTGTCGAGGCACGTCCCTAAGCCCGTGCCGCACCTCGGCAGGAACGTTCGGGTTTCGGGTTTCTTCGCTCCCGCATAGTCGGGCCGAACCGCAGGCGGGGTAGCTGGTACTGTTCTGAGGGAAAGAAAGGAGAATCTTATCCAGCATCCCCGGAAAATGCATCTGCACGTCACATGATACTTTGGGATAAATGCGTTGTCGGCTGTCCTTCCATCTCTTCAATAACCCGCGAAAACAAAACCACCAACAAAAAACACCAATGCCACCAAGGGGTTAAGGTTTAGGGTTCAGGGTTTAGGGTAATATCTTGAATATGGTTCTACAGCAGAGCTCAACCTATTGGGCAAGAGACTACAAAAGACGTTGCAACAGTTGACACACAGGCTCCGTATTGGCGAGTTCATTTAAGCGGATCACCATCACCCAAGTACGTTACTTGGAGATTCAGGGCCAGTAAGAACCCAACTTATGACTCTACTTATAAGCCCCGAAGTCTAAACCCTAAACCCCAAACCCCAAACCCCAAACCCTAAACCCTAAACCCTAAACCCTAAGTCCCCGACATGATATAAGCAGAATTACAATTGTCGTTACAAGTACCCCTGAACTTGGGATGTTCACCCCTTAAACGAGCAGTTCCTAACAGTCCTTTTCGGGATGATACTGGGGCTACTAGGGGGTACTGCAATCCCTACTTAGGACTGGGCGCATCAGGGAAACATCCCAACCTAAACCCGAAATACCCAAAACCCCAAACCCCAAACCCCAAACCCCAAACCCTAAACCCTAAACCCAAATTCGGCCTGAGAGCCTAAAGTAAGGTTCTTCCAGAAACGAGCTGCAACAAAAAAGGGGGAATGAGTAGACAAATCAAAAAACTCGGCGCCCAGGGTTTATCAACTCTAAACCACACCCATCCTTCTATAGGCCGGCTCTGCAAAACCCTAAACTCCTCAGGAAGCCCTCAAACCCCAGATCCCGAACCCGTAATGGCCTACAACGGCGTCAAGCCCTACCCTAGACTCTGTGAGACCCTAAACCCTAAACCCTAAACCCTAGCCCTAAACCCCAAAACCCTATTTACGCACCCCGTGCTTGGGGCAAGGCCCAGTTCTGCAGAGACTTTGCGACACCACCTAGTTAGGGTCTAGGGTTTAGGGTTTAGGGTGTTCCGGGTTTAAGGTTTAGGGTTTAGGGTTTAAGGCTTAGGGTTTTGGGGTTTAGAGTTTAGAGTTTGGGCGGGCTTCGGTTCTTTTTGGGGCTTCGGGTGTTGAGGGTGATTAGAGAGTGCTCCCACTCTTACACTGGCAGATGCGGGCGAGGATGCTCGAGACTAAGGTTTAGGGGTCTATGATCTAGGGGTTCTACCTTGGACCCCTAAGGTTGTACCCTTGGGTTTTGGGGTCCCTTTTTAAGGATCCCTAAGGGAGTATAAGGGCCATATTAGTAGTGTATTATGGGGAACCTTTAGGGGTACAACCTCAGGGGTACGAGTCTTCATCCCTTGATTATGAACCCTGTAAAGCCGGTAAACCCAATACAGCCTATGAACCCGATGAACGTTATGAACCTTTGAACCTTTAACAAGCCGCATAAACCCTATAAATCCTATGAACACTGTGAAACCTGTAAACCCTGAAGCCCTTTTTTCCCTAAACTGCTTGCTGTCTTTCGGCGTCTGGGGCTTCAACCAGGAACTCAAGGAGCTTTCAAGGCTCTAGGGGAAAAGAATCATGTGCCTGGGGGCCTGTTTTTGCCTAGCAACCCTAGAGGCCTAGAGCCTGAACTGAGGGTTTAGGGTTTAGGGTTTAGGGTTCAGGGTTTAAACCCTAGACCCTAAACCCTAAACCCTAAACCCCTTGCAGCGCGCCCTTGCCGGGTAAGCCATCACATTAAGACCCTAGACTCTCAACTCAAAACTCCAAGCCCTTTCCTGAACTCCAAACCCTAAACCCTAAACCTTAAACCCTAAACCCTAAACCCTAAATGGTACATTCGGAGCACCACGGAGTCGCGCGTGCTGCATAAATCCGGCCACCAGCCGCTGCCGATGCTGCGCCAGGGTTTTCAACTCGGTGTCCTGCGTGGCGAGTTTGGGGGTTTAGGGTCTATAGGGTTTAGGGTTTAGGGTTTAGGGCTTAGGGTTTAGGGTTTAGGGTTTGGGGTTTGGGGTTTAGGGTTTAGGGTTTAGGGTTTAGGGGTTTGCAACGTGCAGAGTTTAGCTTAGAGCCTTGCCGAACACAACGAAGCTTCGACTCTCACTGGTTCAGAGCTCACTTTCTCCAACGAGCGTCGAATTGCAAAGTTAAGCTTGGGTTTTCCCCCCAAAAACGGCACTCAGAAAGCTTACCAGCTCAACCATTGGTTGTCTCACATGGGGTTTGGGGTGCGATATGCAGGTTGAGGATGGGTTGCTGTAAGCCCCCACCCCCACCCCTAGAATCCAATCTCTCTCTACCCTGAAAGGGGCGTTCTCAGCGTAACATCACGTTTCCCATGTGGCCACCCTAATGACCTAAACTCCATGCTTCCCCAATGCTCCGTACTACTCCCTAAGGTTTCCTAGGCACCTAATTCCCCCAAACCCTAAACCCTAAACCCTAAACCCTAAACCCTAAACCCTAAACCCTAAACCCCCCCTTCCCTCAAGAACCCTCGTACGAAATCCTGACCCCTGAGCCAACCCTGCAGTTCAACTGGTAGCACTGTTTATAAGGTTTAGGGCCTAAGGGTTTAGGCCAAACTGGTGCCCGCTTTGTCGGGTATAGGGTTTAGGGTTTAGGGTTTAGGGTTTAGGGTCGTTTTTTTTGTGAGCCTGGCGGCAAAACTCCCAACACAGAGAACAAGAAGAAGGGTTTAGGGTTTAGGGAGTATATCCTAAAAAGACGGAAGAAACATAAGGCCTTTGGGGACTACCTGAGGCCTGTAGCTCCCAAACCCTCCAAGATGGTAGGTGCGTAACCGCGAAAAAAAAGTGCATCACCCCCAGAATGAATCTGCCACTTCCACCCTAAACCCTATATAAACCCTAAACCCTGAACCCTGAACCCTGAACCCTAAACCCTAAACCCCAACACCTTAACGGAGTCTGGGAGGGGGGGGGGGGGGCACTCCGAGAAGTGTCCTGCGACACCTCCGAAATGACCTTGCCGATGATGACGCTGTGCATCACGGTGCCTGTATATAAGCCGTTTAGGGTTTAATCCCTTCCCCCCAATACTAACCCCCCCCCCCCCCCCCAAAAAAAAAAAAAAAAACTTAAATACTATTTTTCCCGGACCCTGCCGGCACCCAGCCCAATACTAAACCTGTTTGAGAATTAGGGGGGGGGGGGGGAGGGGTTCAGGGCCTTCGCCCTTGAGTTGAGCCATTGAGTTTTTAGGGCTGAGGGCTGAAGGCTGGCAGGATTAGGATTCAGGGCTCAGGGCTTAGAGGGTTTAAGGCTTCGGGGTTTTATTAGGCTTCGGAATTCAGGTTTTAGGGTTCAGGCCCCCCCTAATTTTCAAAATTTTTCGGGCCCAGGCGAATTTCAGTTTTGGGCGGGGGGGGGGGGGGGGATTTTGAATTAGGGGGAAGGGATTCGGTCCTTAATCGGGATTATACTAGGGGGTACAAGAATCCCAATTGAGGACTCTAGTATATGGGGGAACATCCCAAGAGGGATCGGGATCCCTTAGAAAGTCCCTATATACCTATAAAGTAGCCCCAAAATAACCCCCAACTATCCCCACTGGTCCCCTACAAGGGTCCCTCCTCTAGGTCCCTGGACTTGATATACGCCCCCAAAAACCGCTGGCCTATTAGCATGGTGAAGCAGACGTACAAGACTTCCGGCAGTGTCTTGACGGAGAAGTCGCCGAAACCGACCTTTCTCACAGGAAGTTTTTCGGATCCTAGCCCCGAAATGCTCACACACCCCATGGGTTCGAAAGCCCTGAGCCCTAAGCAGTAAACCCGAACCCTGCCCTTGCCAAAAAAAGAAGGTGCTCTTGTTCTCCCAGGGGTCTATTGTTCTTAATTGCAGGTATTCAAACCAAAAAACAAAAAAAAACAAAACCCGAAAAACCCACACCTGTACGACCTGACCGCTTCTCCGTCAAGGGTCTAGGGGTTAGGGTCCCGGATACCCTCAAAATGTCCCGCCCCACCGGAGGAGGAGGAGGAGGAGGAGGAGGAGCCGTTTCAAATCATAACAACTCGCAAACGTCCCATCATCAACGGCTAGCAAACCCCAAACCCCTTAAAACACGTATGAAACGAGTATGTGGGCAGTTACACAAAAGCATTGTCCTTGTGGGGCGTCCGGATCATGATACGGAGCATTATATGTAGCCAGGGAACCCCAAAATGGGCTAACTATAGTTTCGACCAACCCCATATGTAAGATTTCTAACGTTGCAGTACATTACGTTGCGTTAGGGAACCCGCATCCGAACCTGTAAGCAAGTATGACAAAAGTCAGCCTGGAATATGACCCGAACCCCCTAAACCCTAAACTCTAAACCCCAAACCCTAAACCCTAAACCCTAAACCCTAAACCCGACCACCCTTGGGCTCAGCATTCCAGTGGCTGTGGTGAAGACGGTGAACACAAAGTAGACTGCATGTATCCACTGCTCCACTGGCGGTCTGTAGAGTAGCCTGGCAATGATCTTCGGGGTTTAGGGTTTATAGGGACTTAAACCCTAAACCCTAAACCCTAAACCCTAAACCCTAGGGTGTAGGGTTTCGGTTGTAGGGTGCAGCTATACCAAGAAGCACCGGGAATGTTTTGGGCTTTCGATCTTGGCCGAGGCTTGCGGGGGTGTACCTGACGCTCGCCAATCTCAATCTGCATCCTCGCTGCATGTCTTGGTCTTGGTTGACGAGCCGGAACGCCAGCCATGTCTCCATGTGGTCATCGTGAAGGGATGCGCAAAGATACCTGGGTATTCTCTGGCAGCCAGGAATTCGTGCGGTGTGACGGTTATGGTGGGTCGGGTGATTGTTATGTCTTGAGTTTTGAGTTCAGGGCAACGGGTTTCGGGGATGAGGGTACAGGGTTTCGGGTTAAGGGTTAAAAGTTCGCAATAGGGCCTCGATTGCCTAGGTAGCGCATCTCTTTGGCTTTTGGGTGAGCTTCATTCGCACGCGGGGCACCAGCAAGATAAGATCTCCAATTAAGCATCCGAGATGCCACCCGCATGCCAAGACGTGAACCAGCCAGATTAGGCCCAAGAGAAGATTCAGCACGGCCACGAACTTGTAGTGCTTGACCCACTCCTTGGCTCTTGATAGACATCAAAAAAAGCCCTCATCAAGAGAGGCACCAAATTGAACCCTAAGCCCTAAGCCCTAAGCCCTAAGCCCTAAGCCCTAAACCCTAAACCCTAAACCCTAAACCCTAAACCCTAAACTTTATAAACCCTAACCCTTTTGCAGCAGGCTGGCAGATTGCAGAATGTCCTCGCCCTGAGCCCTGAAAAGCAAACAACAACGGTGCCCAAGATGAGCCAGTCCTCACGCCAACAAAAAACTAAAAAAATATGTTTCAAGATCGGCCTAGCCTAAACCCTAAACCCTAAACCCTAAACCCTAAACCCTAAACCCTAAACCCTAAACCCTAAACCCTAAACCCTAAACCCTAAACCCTAAACCCTAAACCCTAAACATCAGCCTAGCCTCAACGAGCTGAATCAGCTTTACCACTCGCAGATACTTGAGCAGCTTTGTCATCCTCAGCTGTGCTGCTTCGGTGCATACAAGAGCTCCAGGTTCAGGATCTCACCCTAAACCCTAAACCCTAAACCCTCAACCCGGTTAGGGCTCATAGGGCTTCTCGGGCCCAGACTAGACCCAAACTCCATCTCTCCAGGACGCTGCTGCATTCGGATAATGCGGAGTGCACGGTTGGCCTGGTTGGAGTTGATGTCCTGTGCCAAGTCTGCGATTCGGTTTAGGGTTTAGGGTTTAGGGGTTAGGGTTTAGGGTTTTTTTGCCACCCGCCTAGCAAACCCCTCTGGGATCACGATTTAGGGTTTAGGGTTTAGGGATTATTCAGGTCCTTTGGACTCTTCAGATTCCAGAAGATACTTTTTCTGCTTGTTAAAACGCGCTTAGGGTTCAGTGGCTTGCAACTTCCGGATTTGGAGGGGGGTTCTCTAGAATCTTTCGGGCTCCCGAAACCCAAAACCCCCAAACCCTAGGCCCTAAACCCAAACCCTAAACCCTAGCCCTAAACCCTAAATCCTAAACCCTGAACCCCAAACAGCAAAACAGCCAACTCCCAAATCCCTCCTCCGCCAATGCAAAGGAGACGACGGCTTCCACAAAAGGCTCCGGGAGGCTGGAGATCAAGTTGATGGTGAAGTTTCCAAGGATGTATCTCCTGGCCTGGGCTCTCTTTGCTTTTAGGGTCTAGGGGTTTAGGGGTTTAGGGTTTAGGGCTAGGGTTTAGGGTTAGGGTTTAGGGTTTAGGGTTTAAGCTTTCGGGTTTAGGAATTTAGGGGGCTTCTCGTGCATGCAGGATTGAGCGTCCAGGGTTCAGGGTTTTCAGGGTTTAGGGCTTTTGAGGTTTAGGGTTTCGGGGCTAGGCGGCCAGGTTGACCCCGTAGGCTTCTGGAAAAAAAATATATATAATATGATATATGATATATGATATACGTGTATCTGTATCTGTACATATATATATATATACAGACTACTGCTGTTTGAGAACCTCCCCCCCCCCCCCCCGCCCCATAAACCTCACAAAATACTAATGGCCCTATGCTTCCCTTATAAGGAAGAGTGGCTTCTTTGTTGAGGGGTGTATGGGGCTCCCGTTTTAGGGCATGCACAGATAGAGTTCTCTAAACCCTAAACCCGAGACCCTAAACCCTGAGGAAGCGGCAATGCGCCGCAAGGACACGACCTCTTTGCCATCCGAGCTGACGTAGGAGAAGAAGAAGGGCATCACCACATCAACCACAAACCTTCCACGGGCGCGTGCATGTCCCTAGTTGCTGAGTACTCTGGGCTCAAATCTTAACTATTCAAATATAAATGATGGCAGGATGTGATATGATATAGTGTATATATATACACACATATACATATACATATGCATATACATATACATATACAAATAAAATGTATAGATATACATATATATATATATACACCAAAAAGGTTAAAGGTTCCATACTCAGCTACGTCTGTAGAAACAGCATCGGCTTTGTGACCAACATACGTGAATGAACACGTGCATGCATACCCGTGTGGCATTGCTATCCACGCTACGTCGCTACGCATCCTAAACCCTAAACCCTAAACCCTATTCCAGTTGAACCGCGGCACACCACATCCACGAACCTGTCAAAGAAGGACCAGAACTCTGGCTCAGACAGCGTTCCCCGAGCATGGCTGCGGATGAACGTCATCCTCGGATCCATTGTGAAGGGTGTAGGGTTTGATTAGGGTTTAGGGTTTAGGGTTTAGGGTTTAGGGTTTAGGGTTTAGGGTTTAGGGTTTGGCTCCATCAGGCTCTTGGTTGTTGATGCTGGAATCAGTGCGACTTCATGGCGTTCCTCCTTTTGGGGGGCCCCAAAAAATCGTCAACAAGAAGTCTCTGTACATTAGGGTTTAGGGTTTAGGGTTTAGGGTGCCGAAATTAGGGGGTGTACCTTATTATTGGGGTCCTGATTACAAGGGAATCCTAGTATATGGGGCGGTCTATATTTGGGGGTCCCTTATTTTCGTAAACTCCCATCTCTGTACCTACAGGCGCCTTCGGAGCACTTGCTGCAGGACACCACCCTAGCCGGCCCTAACCCTACACATAGGGTTTAGGGTTTAGGGTTCGGAGAAGTATGACTTTCCCCGGCCGACTTCCGAAGCCCGGATGCACAAGGGTTCTTGGTGCGTAGTTAGGCGCCATGAGGTCCTTGAAAGGGGCTCCGGGCTCGCAAGACAATTGAAGCCACGCATCCGGTAGAGGAAGATGGTGCCGGTGTACATCAGAAGCCTCCGACTCCCATTTTCAACCCTAAAGCCTAAAGCCTAAACCCTAAACCCTGAACCCTGAACCCTAAACCCTAAACCCCAGCACCCCAATTTCTGAGCCACCGACCGCCTTAGTGGCAGTGACCTTCCCAACCCCTCCGAACCTCAGCACGAAAGCCTCCTCCTTCCCTTCCCCCTCGAACACAATTACTGCAGGGGTTCAGGGTTTAGGGTTTAAGGTTTGCATACTTCTGCCATGATAGCGCATTAGAGGTAGGGGTCTTGGTATTGGAGTGGGGGGTGGTGCTCGCCAACAACTCCTGGCTGCGACTCTAAACCCTAACCCCCCTCAACCCGAAACCCTCAACCCTGACAAGGAATCAAGTTTGAAGACCGACCGCGTACGACCCACTTCGGGCTTAGGGCATTAGGGCTTGTTCTCTCCGCGGGGCTTAGTTTAGGGTTTAGGGTTTCGGGGTCTAGGGCTTAGAGCCCTAAACCCTATACCCAAGCTAGAAAAGACTGACGTGGGCCTTTGGGTCCCTGCCTTGGCCTTTAGGGTTGAGGATGTTAGGGCGTCGTAGGGCTTTGAGAGTTTGGGGAGGGGTGGGGAGGGTGTAGGGTTCAGAGTTTAGGGTTTGGCAATTCTTCCTGAGCCCTAAACCCTAAACCCTAAACCCTAAACCCTAAACCCTAAACCCTAAACCCTTAACCCTTAACCCTTAACCCTAACACCCTAAAACCCTAAAACCCTAAAACCCTAAACCCTAAGCCCTAAACCCTAAGCCCTAAACCCTAAACCCTAAGCCCTAAACCCTAAACCCTAAACCCCAAACCCCACGCCCAGGTGCAGCAGTATCAGCAATGTCCAAAGCTGCCGCCATCGGCTGTCCGACCGCTGCACAATCCAGCTGAGGCGCCGGTGCCTCTCCTTTCTCACCCCTAAACCCTAAACCTGAAACCCTAAACTACTCTTTGCTTAAGAGCCCCTAAAAAAGTAAAAACACATTCTTCCTTGTAAGGTTTATACAGGGATTGTTTCTTACTTTCTCGCCCTAGACTGCGATTTGCTTTTAAGAGCCCACAAAAAAGGGTTCTTCCTTACAAGGATTCTAGGGACGATTCTCTTCTTTCTTTTGGGGGGGGGGGGGGGGGGAGTTCTTAAGCAAATAGACCCTAGACCCTAGACCCTAGACCCTAGACCCTAGACCCTAAACCCTAAACCCTAAACCCTAAAAAAAAACAAATTTCCGGGATTTCCTTGACCTTAACCCCGAAACTCCCTAAGGCCCTTGAACTTGCAGCCGGGAGCTCGACATGCCTTGGCCCAAACTTGGGGAAAAGTGCTGGAAGTGTTTTGTCTACCCTAAACCCTAGACCCTCAACCCTAAACCCTAAACCCTAACCCTAAACCCTAAACACTAAACCCTAAACCCTAAACCCTCAAGCCTATACCCTGAACCCTGAAGCCTAAATTTCTAGACCTTAAACCCCTAAACCGTAAGTTCTTGAACCTTAAACCCTAAACTTTAAGTCCTAAAGCCTAAAGTACTAAACCCTGAACCCTCAACCCTAAACCCATCAGGGCTCCACCACCCCCTAAACCCGAGACCCTCAACCCTAAACCCTAAACCCTAAACCCTCAACCCTATTTACCCAACAGGGCTCCACCAGGGCCGCTTCGCTTGGCTCCTCTTCGTCCTCCGACTCCTGCCGTCATGTGGTCATCCCCTCTCAGGGGGCTTCTCGGGATTTGCGGGGCCTCCTTGCTTGTTTCAAGGGTTTTGGGGGTTTGGGGGGGTTTAGGGTTTAGGGCTAGGGGGTTTTAGGGGTTTAGAGCTTCAGGCATCTATCCTTGCTTGTTTAGAGGCTTTAGGTTGGGATGCTCACCCTTATACTAACAGTCCTTAGTAGGGATTATAGTACGCCCCCTACTATGATCTCTATTCAGAACTGTTAGTATAAGAGGGGACATCCCAAGTGTTAGGGTCTAAGGGGTTTAGGGGGTTAGAGCTTCAGGTATCCTGCTTAAGCACTCTGAGTCTCAACGTGCGGCTAGACGCCTGAGGGCTTTGGGCTTCGAGGCTTCATGCGGGTTCCCTGGGTTTGCGATTAGAACCAGCATAGCTGCGGCTGATTGCCCTCAGGTGTTGGGTGCCTGTAGATGGCTAGCGCTCCCTCATCCTCAGACCCTAAACCCGAAACCCGAAACCCTAAACCCTAAACCCAAAATCGAGGCCTGAAAAAACCATGGTCCTCAAACTGAAGAGATCGCTGGAACTTGTAGGTTTTCCGGCTGCCCTGCGACTTGAAGTTGATCACACTCACCGACGCCTGTTGCGGGGCTTGGGGGGTTTAGGGTTTAGGATTTAGGGTTTAGGGTTTGGGGTTTAGGGTTTTACCTCTGACTCTTTCCTTGGAGGTTCAGGGTACTTACCAACCAATGATAGCTGTACCGACAACCCACTTATAAGCCCCCTTAAGTGCCCTAATATGTTTATAATTTCGGTTATAAGTAGAGTTACAATTGGTTAAGAAGTGCCTTTAAGGTTGAGGACCGTCTTGCTAAGGACGCCACTGAGTCGACTTGTGACGGTTGGCTGATGGCTTTGGGGATTGGCGGAAACCCGGAATGTTTGGGGCTCCATCTGTGCGCGGAAAGCTGCTGAACACTGCAGCTATCGACGGCAGCACAGATTGTTGAATTGCATGGGTGCTTTGGGCAGGTTCTCTGTACTGTGGATCATGGGATATGGTGAGTTGACGAAATTATGGTCCCTTTTTGGGTGCCCCAGATCTTGGGGGCCGCTCTTATATTGGCAACCCCAAACGGAACCATATGTTAGAGAAGTGACCATATACAGTACTTCTCCCCCCCCCCCCAGAAGTGGGAGTTGATCGTTCAGGGATGTAAGTCCGCAAGGAAGCTTTCACTCCTCGGGGTTTAGGGCTTTAGGGTTTCTGCAAGCACTCTCTGTAGCAGCAGGCTTCACGCTAGTGCCACCAGCCCAGCAACCTCCAGGGTTTAGGTAGGGCTTAGGGATCCACATTGAACTGTATAGAGAGGTTCCTGAGTATCAGCGATGGTGGGCAGCGGAGGACCAGGAAAGTCAATGACAGCGAAGTGACCCGGAAACAACTAAGTTGACTAGTATTTGTCATGGTTGGGGTCCTGGGAGGCTAGGAAATTGACTATCTGCAACTGCTTGTCCAACCTTGCAGGGCGTCACTCAATTTAATGAGCGCGCGTGCCAATAGTGCGCCTGAGGATAGAGCCTAAGATGCCTTTGAAGCCTCATGGTGCATTCCCGAACCTTGCGTCTGCGCGGTCGTGAGCCGGCTAAGGAGTACAGTATGAGTTGCGGCTCTCAGGAGCAAAGTCTGGGCCCGGGCACCTGGCCCCCCTGTACCGTTTGTCCGCAAGGCAGTATGTCTTGCACCCCTTTCGGTGCAGCTGGGCCTGCCGCGTAAGGCCTATGGTTTCCACGGGACTTTCAGTTCGAACATGACTCTAGTCTAGATGCCCCCCCCCCCCCCCCCCCCACAGTGGGCTGAGTCTGGCCAATCAGCCGAGGACGGAATCTGAGTCTTCAGGGAGCCAACCAAATCACAAGGGAAAATTCTGAAAGTGTCACTTAATAGAATACACGAGCTTGCCTCCACGGTGGGTCCTGCCCTGCTCAGAAACGAGGACAGCATGACTGCCGACACAGTGGCCGCTGTTTTCCCGGGCATGGAAGCATGGCACGCTTGTACAACTCTGCAACAGATGTGAACCTCTGAATGCTTAGACCCAGAGCTTCCAAAAACACGTTCCTTGAAATTCTGGGAACTGCGATGCTGCCAACATCACTGGTCGTTGCTTTGTGGCCAGCTTTTGCATCCTAGCAGAGAAGCCGCCCGTCTACAAAGCTTCTAGAGCTCCCCACTGCCCCGTGTGACTTGCAGCAAGTGCACCGAGTCAACGTTTTCGGAGGCAGCTGGACGGATCGGTTGCTCCTTCTTCTGGGCGAGGTGAACTGCAGGCGTGCTGTGACCGTCTTTTCCGTGATGTCCGTGATGGCCGGGTATGCACTTCTGGCCTTTGTCGCAGATGAAAATGCAAGCGCATATCACACACTCATACACATACACATACACACACACACCAAAAACAACACACGCACACACTCTCAAAACAAAAACCTACATATACACTCATTCACTCACATGCTTAAGAAAACAACATCGCTTGCTGAGGCCCCTGGCAATCCGGGATGATGGCCCAAAGCTTGAGTTTCGGCTTCAACAGGAAACACCAAGGCTTGCAGCTCTTTGGCTCAGGCGACGGGCGCGGAGTGGTTGTGTCAGGTGTAACTTCTAAATCAGACTCACCGGCCACACCCACAAGCTCACCGTCCGCATCCAGTGCCATGGGACCTAGGAGGCGCCGGTGGCCGTCACCGCGAGCAATGAAGCCGTGGAGGCAGAAGCGGTTGTCCCAAGAAAGGAACCGCCCGGCAAAAGCCTACAGGGAATGAAGCTGTGTGCAGCACGGGGCTTAGGGGCTTAGGGGGGGGAAGGTGAGACGTGCCTCCACCTGCTTCACGCTGCTACCGCCCGGCGCCATGAAAGTCATCCAGCCAAGGCTGCTTCTGTCTGGTGCTGATTCCAAGTATAATGTGGCTGAAGTTCCATTCACCTTGCCGTATTGGCTGCCCCGCAGGCCACCCAACTCGCCGTGGTCCTGGTGCATGACCCTATTCCCGCTCTTGCGGACGCCTGGGATGAAGTTGAACAAGGGATTGATCTTCGGCTCACCAGCCAATGCTTCCTTCAGGCGGAGTTGGACGTTTGCATGGCCCCGAAGCACTTGTGGACAGTCTGTCCCCTCGAAATCCCTCAGCAAGGAGGCCGCCTCTGTTTCCGAAATAAAGCCGTCTCGGACCCTGATGGAAGACAGGCACGCGCTGCTCAAATCCTCGGCCGAAGAAGCCGCACAAAGAGCGCCCAGCGCAAAGAGGCAACGGGCCATCTTTATCCGTTTGAGGCCATCGGCCCTTCTTTCAGTTTGGAATCTTTAAGACCTGAAAGTTGAAAGGAAAACTATAGGCATATATAGGCATGCTCCATTTCTTCATCCCCAGTTAACCAATGCTTGGCCTCTAACCTCTGCAGCATCTGCTGGCAAGCCGACGCAAGCACCGGTCTGCGAAGATGCGCTTGGACCAGAAGCGCGCTAGCCCTTCTAGGGTTTACGGGTTCAGGACGGAGGGCTTTGGGATGTTTAGGGTTCAGGAATGATATAGACATCAACTTTATGGGGTTTAATTAGGGCTGCAAGCTTTGAAGAGCTTAGTGTGTCAAGCCAACTGCTTCAGATTGCGAAATCTCTGGGCAGCCCGAATTTTACTGGACAAGTGGCTTCAAGACGGCGCCCTCATCTCTTTACACCCCAGACCTGATGTTCAAGGTTTAAGGTCTAGGGGTCTAGGGTTATGGCTTAACAGCACCTAATCATCGTAATCTGGTCCTTCTGGCCCTTCTAAAGAGACTTCTTGCGCACAGGGGGAAGAAGCAATGAGCCGGTCATCATGTCGTACGTGAGTCTCCCTGCCTCTTCTCTGCCAGAATCCATGCTTGCGACGTGAGGCCATCAAGCGCAGGGGATATTGGTTGATGCCAACAACTGGCCTTTTATCAGGGATCTCCACTTCATTCTAAAACGAAGTTTGTCTTCGTGGTGCCCGATGGGCCTTGATGATATGGATCAGATCCCTAAGCCCAGAAACCTACATCATTGTGACTTAATCTATAAGAAAGCCCATAACCCAAAAAGTAAAAAGGATCCCTAACACTGATTTAGGTGAGTCAGGAGTCAGGAGAGCTTCTGGACATGTCGGGACTCGTAGGGTTTCGGGCTCAGGTGTAGGCGAAGATGGGGGCATGTTGTCTGAGAAAAAGTGTCCAAATTTGGGCTGCGTGCCTGTGTTCTATATTCTCCTTAGAACCTTGAAAAAAAATGTTTTAAATCCCCTCTGGGGTTCATATGAACAAAAAACAATAATTCCCAAGGGGGATATAGGTGTTAGGGCCACATTGTTCCATGTTCCCTGGCTTTGTGCCCACGCTGCCGCGAGTCGGGGTTTAGGGTTCGCCCCGTATTAGCCCCAGACTCGAAGATGCAAAAGGCCTCAACAAAGCCACGCTTTGTAATTAGAAAAGACCCTAAACCCTAAACCCTAAACCCTAAGCCCTAAACCCTAAACCCTAAGCCCTAAACCCTAAACCCTAAACCCTAAACCCTAAACCCTAAACCCTAAACCCTTTTCAAAGCAGCCAGAAACTCACATCAAGCAGCTCTTAGGGCCGATGGCGCAGGGTGCCTGAAGGAAAGCAAGGTTTAGGGTTTAGGGTTTAGGGTTTAGGGTTTAGGGTTTAGGGTTTAGGGTTTAGGGTTTAGGGTTTAGGGTTTAGGGTTTAGGGTTTAGGGTTTAGGGTTTAGGGTTTAGGGTAGCATGTTTCGGTGTCGGTCTCTGCTTGGAACTTCTTGTATACTGATGCATCTGCAACGGGGAGACTTCTTCAGGGTTGAAGGCTAGGTTAACACAGAGATAAACTTTTGTGAAAGGGATGTTATGGACCCTAAACCCTAAACCCTAAACCCTAAAACCCTAAAACCCTAAAACCCTAAAACCCTAAAACCCTAAAACCCTAAAACCCTAAAACCCTAAACCCTAAAGTGCATTCTTGGATCGGTCTCTCGGGTTGAATGAACCTATGCAGGGGTGGGAGGTCTCTTACTTGCCCACTGTACACGCACAGTAAAGACCTGCTCCTGAAATCTGTGGTATGAATTGCTGAGCACCCACACCCCAGAACCCTACGCAGCTCTGAGCCCAAAAAATCTACGCAAGACAAAAAAGGTCAAAGAAGAACATGGCTTCTTTTCTCTCACGCGGGCTTGCCGATGCCATCCGGTGCCGTCCTCGGTTCCGGGTTTAAGGGGGTAGGGGGTTTAGGGTTTAGGGTTTAGGGCTTAGAGTTGAAGGAGTCAGGTCAACGGCTTTAGGGTTTGGGGGAGGTCGAAATAAATTCAATGTTGCTACTCATGCAAACGTCATGTCGTCCCCCAAGTCGGAGGCGTCGACTATGTTTGGTTCGGCCTCCTACCGTTCGAAGTTCGGGGTTTAGGGCCTTTCGGGTTTAGGGGACTCTTCTGCGCAATCCAGGGCAAGGATTCTCAAACGCGTCTTTCCGTGAGGCTCTGAGTCTAGGGTTTAGGGTTTGGGGTTTAGGGTTGGGGCTGTGACTGTCGGTTCCGCTGGTGGCATTGCGCACCCTTACTAGAATCAAACCTCTTGCCAAGTTTCTAGCGTGACAACCGGCAAGCTAGACTTTGCTGAATTTTGACTCTAGAAGACAGGCTCTACGTTTTAAAGTGGTACTTTATAACGGTAAGCATTGAATCAACCCCTGCTAGGACACAAACGCAGGAACTAACTCCGTCAGCCACATAATGTGACTAGAGGCCCTCAACACAACTTGAACCCAAGATCTCTAGCAAGATCAGAGAATTTCTAAGCCCAGGATCACCCGGAAAGTCCCAAACTGGTGTCGCCTAAACTGGACACCCTGTGGCGCTGCGTGTTTCAAACCTTTCGCGCCCAAAGCTGCTACCCCAAAGACACAGAACGCGCAAACCCTAAACAACCCAAATCCTGCAAGAGTAAGCGCAAGCCCAGTCTCTAAAAGCAAGCACAAAGTTGCTGAGTTCAGAAGCCCCCCAACAAAAGTGTACACTTTCAGTTCTGTATGGAGTATAGCATCCCAAGAAGTGTAATTAAAGTGTACCTTTCAGTTCTATAGGGGACTAGAGTGTCCCAAGAAGTGGACAGTGTATTCCTTCAGCTACTAAGAGCATGAAATTAAACCGATAACCCTCAACCCTAAACCCTAATTAAACCCTAAACCCTAAACCCTAAACCCTAAACCCTAAACACTAAACCCTAAACCTCCAAGTAAGAGTATTGAAGTCCGCGAGGCCCGGCACCTGGCGCGGCGCCACCGGCCGTCCCCGCCTTCGATCGGTCTCATACCCGTCAAAACCCCTCAAATTTGACTGCTTCTCCGTGGGAAGAAGTCGGACCTCAAAGGGTTTGGGATTTAGGGTTTAGGGTTTGGGGTTTAGGGTGGAGGGTTTAGGGTTTCGGGTTTAGGGTTTAGGGCTTAGGGGTTAGGGTTTAGGGTTTCGGGTTCAGGGTTCAGGGTTTACGGTTTCGAGCTGGAGGCCCTAAAATAGGGTTCATATACAAAACTTCAGCATGGACTTTAAGTAGCCATGCGAGAGCCCCCCCCCCCCTCCCCCCAAACGCCCTAAACCCGAAACCCGAAACCCTGAACCCTAAACCTAAACCGAAACCCGACAGGGCTTCGGTCTTATAGAGGGCTTGGGGCGTCAGGGGGTTTAGGGGGCTTTAGGGGGTTGAGGTTAAGGGGGCTTTAGGGGGTTTAGGGGGCTTGAGGGTTTGAGTATAGGGGGGTTAGGGGGTTTAGGGAGATTAGGGGGTGTTATGGGTTTTTAGGAGGTCTTGGGGGGTTTAGGGGGTTTAGGGAGTTTAGGGGGTTTGAGCGTTGAGGGGTTTAGGGGGTTCAGGGTTTAGGGTTTGAGGGTTTGAGGGTTCCGAGGGGGTGGCATCCTGAGCCCAATGATTGTTCAAGATCCGATGACCTCTAAACTTCTCCTCACCATCGCAGCGCACAGCAGAACTTGTTTGCTGCGACCTTCCTGCTCACACAATGAACCGATAGCAGAATGCCAAAGTCCTAAGCCCCAAAAAGACACTCTGAAGCCACAAATGCCTCAAACCTGTGCCCAATAAGCTTCTCGTCCCCGAACGCAGAGAAAAGAAGCTAAACAAGACTCAAAAAAACACACCAGAATCCTCCGACCCGAACCGGAACCCCCTGAACCAAACTATAAAACTATTTAAACAACATTGGTAAAACGATTAAGAAACTAAATACTTACTTCTCCAATAACCAAGGGGAAAAAAGGTTAAACTTTAATATTCCTACTAAAAAAGGAAACCCAAAAAGTTTAAAGTTCAACTAAAGGCGAAGTAAGAATAGTATTAGACTGGAACCTGAACGGAAAGCGCCCGAGGCCCGAAGGGGAGCAGAGAAAGGAGGGGCCGCAACCCAAAAAGGCCTAAACCCTAAACCCTAAACCCTAAGCCCTAAGCCCTAAACCCTAAGCCCTAAACCCTAAACCCTAAACCCTAAACCCTAAACCCTAAGCCCTAAGCCCTAAACCCTAAGCCCTAAACCCTAAACCCTAAACCCTAAACCCTAAACCCTAAACCCTACACCCTGAAGGAAAGAACCGGAGGCTTGAAGCAACGACATCTGCAGGGGAGGAGAGGAGGGAGGACCGCCTTCTACCAGGATGGGCTATTATTCGGCCCTATCATCCCCATAGTCAATCCTACGAAAGGGCCTTCTTAAGGGGTTACAGGGTATAATAGCCCGTCCTGGTATGTGTGACAATCGCGCTCCCGGCTCACACCGCGAGTCAAGCCAGCACCGCTCCATCAAGCGGGTGCACGCCAGCACAACCGCGATTCTGGCAACATCTCCTCGCGTACTTCCGCGGTCCCCCACGCCTCCATATTTACCACGCCCGCCCCGATGGCGCCCTTGGTAGTACCGCCCTGGTGCTCGAAGACAATTGGCAAAAGCGTTGATGACTACGACGTCCAGTGCGACGCGGGGCAGGCAGTGCGGGCGAGCCTGGAGGGAAAAAAAGGGTTTAGGGTTTAGGGTTTAGGGTTTAGGGTTCAAGGAGCTCACAAGCGCGGCCTGGCCCCGAGCACAACAGGACATCTGGCACTGGCAGGTGCGCGAAGGAGTCCTGGCCTCTCCAACTCATACCCCCCCCCCCCCCCCGCCGGCCCCGAAACCCCACAGACCCCAAACATCCCATAAACCCTCTAAACTCTATATAAAACCCAATAAACACCCATTAAACAAAAA